CAAAAAAAAAAAAAAAAAAAAAGTTCTTGCCAGGGATCTTGGCAGCTGCCCTCTCAGCTCTTAGCCGCCGCAGTAGGAAGAGAAGGAAGCGCTATTTCTTCTGTACGGGTCACTTGAAAGTCACTTAAAACCCCGTGAAGAATTGTCCTCCCAGGTGGAGAAACGCCCTGCCTGTGACCGGCGGAGCTGCATCTGCTGGGACTGCTCTGGGTGCCTCTTGCAGGAGTGTCTCTGAGGCCAGCCTGTCTTGCAGGAGTGTCTCTGAGGTGGGTCTCTCTGCCAGCCTCAGGAGGCCTGCGGGCTGCGTCCTCGGGCCTCACCCTGTGCGTGCTCAGGGCCTCTCCAGCCCCCAAGAGTCTCAGGAGGCGCCTGGATTCCCAAGCAGCGCAAGGTCCCGCCAAGTTTTTCTCTGTTGCTGGCACTCCCAGAAGCCCCTCCGCCTCGCATCGTTGTCCCTGCATCCGAGCTGTCAGCCCTGGAAGGCCTGGCCTGTGGGCCTCTTACCCAGCTGCTTCCCTAGGGCACCAGCTGTTTGCTGAGAGCGTGATTGTCTGGGTCCAGCGCCCCAGGAGGGAGGGGCCCTTGGGGGCCTTGGCTCTTGGCGTCCTTGGGCTGAGGGACCACTCGTGAGTCTGGCTGCTCGCTGCAGCTGTAGGCAACTCGGTCCTGGGGTTTGTCCCCACCTCACAGCCCCCCGACCCAAGGGTGACGTGGCAGGCAGGACTTGCAGCCCCCTGGGAGAGGAGCACGACCTTCGGACGGCCTCGCCTGGACTCATGCTGCACGGACGGTTGCTCCCTTATGTTCCCTGCCCGGACACCCCTGGACTTGCACACCTGCAGCTGCAGGGCTGCCCTGATCTCCCTGTCTGATGTCTGGCCCTTGGCCTGGTTGCTCTTTCTTTCAGACTAGATTCTTAGTCGTTTGGGGGTCACGGACAACTCTGAGAGTGTGACTTCTGTGGATCCTCACCCCAGGAGCGTCCACACCATGCACGGAGTTGAGCATATGGTTTTGAAGCTCATGGTCTTGGGTGCCCGTGCCCGCCCCGGGAAGGGGAAGGCAGGCCCTGGCGGCTCTGGTGGCTTGGCTGTCCTGGGCAGGCACACGGTGGGAACTGCTCTAGGGACCTCAGGTGCCTTTTGTGTTTGCTCTCATTTCGTCCTTTGTGGCTGTGACTCTGACTGAGCTGCTGCAGCCCAGGAGGGCATGTGTCCACTGTGAGAAGAGGCCAGGATTCCGTGTGGCAGCTTCTGCCTCTTGCTACTCCACGCCCCCAGGGACACCCCTGGTGAGTGCTCCTGGGTCCAGGTACAGGGCTTGTGGTGTGAGCACCACTTCCCACTGCCCAGGCTAGGAGCAGGCTGGTCATGGGGCTTGTTTCTTGAGGAGGTGGCAGAGGCCCCACAGCGACTGGAACTGTCAGTGAGCCTTTGACACTGATGTGGATTGTGGATTTGCAAGAAGACGGCAAGCCGAGTGGACCAGCAGCTGTTCACTGCCCCTGGGGTTCTTTGTGGGGAGGAGCCTGTCCTGGACACTCAGGTGGCTTTGAGAGCAGGTGGCAGAGGCCCCAGCCAGCCTACCCCCTCCCATCCTGAAGGGAGTTGGTGAATGGTACCTCCTTCCTCCCTGGTACTCTCTGGCTCTGAGGAGCCCCACTCCGGGCACTGTGCGCCGCCTTGGGGCCTGGCTGCTACCGGTTTCCTTGTGAGGACACCAGGCAAGGGTTTATCGGGAGAATCTCTGGGTCCGCCATGCGCCAAGTGAGGGCAGCTCTGGGCACTGACAGCACAGCCAGCTCGGTACCCCGGGTGTTCATAGGGGAGGGGGCTCCTGCCGCAGGGAGCACCATGGTGTGGGTGGGATGGAAACATGCAAGTAGCAGAGCCAAGTTGGCCTGTGGGCTGCACCAACTGCCGGTCCTGGTGCTGGCAGCCCCCGACTGAGCACTCGCTGCCTGCCAGGCCTGCGCTGTCGCCCAGTGAGGTAGGTGATTTAGCCACTTACTTGGAGGAAGCACAGGTGCAGGCAGTGGAAAACTCCTCCCCTTCCCCTCATGTACAGATCACAGAGCTGGGCTCACTCCTAGGCCTGTGCCCTGCCGCTTTCTTTCCCACACCTCTCCCCAGCAGGACCAGTCCAGAGCCCGGTCTCCACCCTAAACCCTCTGAGTTGTCAAGGTGGAGACCCAGCAATAACTCTGTGCTTTAGGAAGGCCATGCAAGCGGCATCCCTTCCAGAGGTCTGGGAGCATCTGCTCCACACAGTACCTGGGACCCAGGTGCTCCATGGGTGAGGCTGTGTGATGACAGCTCCCGACAAAGCCAGCTGGAACTGGCGTCTCAGGCGGAGACCTGGGAAGACAGGCCGGTGGGGCTCAAGGAGGAAGGTTGTGAGCGACCGCACAGAAAGCACTGAGCACGTGTGCTGAGGGCCAGAGGAGGCCAAGTCCAGGGCAGGGCCTGCTGCCTGTATCCCCAGTCCCCTCAGCGCCAGGCGGAGCCTCTGACTCCCCCAGGCCGAGTGGGCAGCTGTGAGGAGTTGGCGCAGTGCCTTGCTGTCTGACTCACTGTGTGCTCTTCTGCATCCCTCGGGGAATGTCAGTTCAGTTCCAGGGGCCTCTTGGCCTGCAGTCTCCGGGACCTGCTGACACGTCCCAGCAGTTGAGAGGGACAGCTCCATGTAACACTCTCACCTGCTGCCTCCCTTTCTTGCTTCATGGAAGCATTTCTCCAGCCGAGGTGGAACCAGTGGACTGCGTTTGGTAGGGCGGGGTGGCAGAGCAGGGTGGCCCGAGATGTCGTGTGACCGTGTCTCCCCCTCGCCCCCTCCCCTTGGCACCGCAGGACGCCAACAAGGAGAGCGGCAAGGCCTCCAAGCCGCACAAGGTGACCAAGGAGCACCGGGAGCGGCCCCGCAAGGACTCGGAGAGCAGGAGCTCCTCCAAGGAGCTGGAGCGCGAGCAGGCCAAGGGCTCCAAGGACGCCGCGCGCAAGCTGGCCGAGGGCCGGCTGCCCAAGGAGGAGAAGGCGCCGCCGCCCAAGGCCGCCTTCAAGGAGCCCAAGATGGCCCTGAAAGAGACCAAGCTGGAGAGCATGTCCCCCAAGGGGGGTCCCCAAGCCCCGCCCCCGCCCAAGGCTTCCAGCAAGCGGCCTGCCCCCGCGGACTCGCCGAAGCCCAGCACCAAGAAGCCGAAGAAGAGCAGCTCGAAGGGGTCCCGGAGCGCCCCAGGCACCTCGCCCCGCACCTCGTCGTCCTCCTTTCCGGACAAGAAGCCGGCGAAGGACAAGAGCAGCGCCAGAGGCGAGAAGGTGAAAACCGAGAGCGAGCCTCGGGAGGTCAAGAAGGCCCTGGAGGTGGAGGAGTCCAACTCGGAGGACGAGGCCTCCTTCAAGTCGGAGGTGAGAGCCCTTCCTCCCCAGCCCTCCTGTCCCTCGCGCCACCTCTCTGCCCAGCCTGGGGTGGCTGGGAAAGTGTGGTGGGACGCGGCATCTGGCTTCCAGAATGCGGGGGGAGGAGGTGGGAGACGAAGCCCAGGGCGCAAGTCCTTGCTGGCTGCTGCCTCCGCTGGCTGTAGCGCCGGGCGAGCTTCTGCACCTTGCCAAGCCTATTTCCCTTTCTGTCAGGTGATAAAGCCCGCCATGTGAGAACCCCCTGGTTGACTCCTCAGTGGCGGCCCCGGTGGTTCTGGTAGAGCCTGCTCGTGTGGCACTGAGGTCTTGGGCTCCCTTCCTCGTGCAGCCCCTGTGTGGGCCGGGTCTCAGTGGCCGCTCTGGTGCCCGAGGGGGCAAGTGTCTCGCTGTTGCTCCCTCCCTGGCCATGGCCTAGTGAGCCCGGCAAGGAGCTCCCTCCCTCTGCTAACTGGGTGTCTGGGAGTCTCATCCCTGTCTGGTGGGTCTCCCTGGCCATGGCCTAGTGAACCCGGCAAGGAGCTCCCTCCCTCTGCTAACTGGGTGTCTGGGAGTCTCATCCCTGTCTGGCGGGTCGATGACAGCACTTGACACACCCAGTCCCTTCCCAGATGACCCCTTCCCACCCGCCCGTGCCTGCACAGACAACTGGGGCCTCGGGATACCTGCGTCAAGCCCTGCTGGCTTTCTGAGCACAGGGCCAGGACCCTGCCCAGGAAGCAGCCTATCACTGTGAGATGCTCTGGGTGGCTCTCTGGTGACCATAGCAGAGGTGACTTGAGCCACAGGAGTGGTAGCCAGGCCTCATTTGGGGCCTGGGAAGCAGTGGTGTCTTCCAGGGCTGTGCCTGGCATCCATTGTTCAGAAAGGAGGTGCGTGGGTGGGTGAGTGGGTGAATGGATGCATGGGTGGATGGAAGGGTGGGTGGATGGGCGGATGGATGGATGGATGGACGGGTCGACGGATAAGGGCTTCCCTAACCTTTGTTGCCAGCCCCAGCCCTCTGTGGCCTCTTGAAGTTTCCAGACCCTCACTTGCCCTTGAGGGGGAAGCTTTGCCCCCAGGGTTGCTGCTGGGAGCTCTGCTGGGCCTTTGAAAATGGTTCCGAGAGACAAAGCAAGACTGGGTGGTTTGTGTCGGTAATGCTGACTTGGTGAGCCTGTGGCTCCCAGGGTGCCCCGACAAAAGTGATGGCGCTGGCTGAGAGGTGACTCTGTGGCCTGTGGGTAGTAGTACCTCCCTGGACTCACCAGACACACATGGTCCTAGCAAGGCCTAGGGCCCAGTCCCACCTCAGAAAGCCTGGACCATGTCAGTAGCCCCCTGGCCACAGGAGGTTCTGTCAGTGTGTTGTCCTCTGCCTGTGTGGCAGGCACTGCTCTGGGCAGGTGCTAGTCCCTTCCCTTCACCTCCAAACCCCTGGGGATAGGTCCAGGGTAAAGACCTGCTGGTGACCAGGTGTTTCAGGGTGAGGCTGGGTGCACGGCACAGTGGGAGGCAGCTGAGGCCTTGCTGGGCTCCATGGGCCCTGTTTGCTCTGTTCTGTCCTACTCCGTGCGTCAGGCCTGGCCTCCCCGTGGTGTCTGGCACCCAGCTTCTGAAGGGAACGTCCCACCACCTCGCTGCCACTCCAGTGTCCAGTGTCTGTGGCCTCAGGGTTGGAGTCACCCGAGGAGGCATGGGAACCTCTTCCTGGCTGGGAAAGAGCCCCCCTCGCACCGAGAGGCTTCTGAACCACATGCCTTCGTGGCTTGAAGTCCCTCCGGTGTGAGACCCCACTCCCAACGAACGGCTCACCCGGAGAGCCCCAGGGCTCCCGCAAAGTGCAGCCTTCTCGGTGAGGGGTACAGTGGCCTTCCAGGTGTGCGCTGCCGGGCCTTCTTAGCCCCTCGGGCCACGCCCCTCCGGAGGCTGTGTGTGGTTGCCCTGCCAGAAAGCTCAGGCCCTCACGGAGTCACAGTCACTGGGTGCCCAGCACATGCTGTCCTCTGAGGCTGCCGGGCTGCTTCTGCCCGAGTCCCTGGGCCCAGCCCCCAGTTTCTCCAGCTGCTTCTTTGGGGTCTCCTCCACCCTTGGGGTTCTGGAGCTAGTCCATCCCATCCACTCAGGGCAGTTGCGGGCCCAGGCTGCTCCGCCCTCCCTCTGGACACTCCGTGTGACCGGAGCATTCAGGTAAGCTCCAGCGACCCTTTTGACCTGTGGGCTCTGGCTGAGACCATTTTGGCTCCTTTTGCCTCAGTCCCTTTGGATCTGGAAGAGGAGCACAGGTAACTGAGCAGCCCTCCTGGTTTTCCTCTGTGGAACGCAGCACTAGGAATCCCTGCCCAGGCAGGGCTGAGCATGCCTTGGGTCTCTGGGGTCCTCCTGCTGAGCCTGAGTGGCTAACTGGTCTCCTGAACTGCCCCCTCCTACCCCCCGGAGTGAGAGCACATACAGGAGGCGGGCGGGGGCCTCCGCCCTTCCCCAGCCCACCTCTCCCAGGAGGTGCCCTGCCACCCATGCCCCCAGCACCCCTGTGATTCCATCCGGAGGTTGGAGGGAGGACTAGACCTGACCGCATGTGCAGGCAGCTGGCAGCTCCTTTACAGATGGAGAAACAGAGGCTTAACACTGGTGCAGCCCTGGCCAGAATAACAAGGCCAGCTGGTGAGAAGGCCGTGGTTAGAACGGGACCCAGGAGGCAGCTTCGTCTCTTAGATGTGTCTTATTCACCCCCTGCCAAGGCTAAGAACTTGTCGGTGTGGACCACCACCTGGGCATGTGTTGGGGATCAGCTGGTCTGTGAACCTCCTCCCCGAGTGGCCCCCACAGTGGGCCGCGAGGAATGGGAACCTCGCAGGATTCCTCGGGGAGGGCTCCCCAGGGAGCACGGGGTGCCGCTGAGAAGGGCAGGCATCAGGGTCCAGGCTGCAGCAGACCCTGGAGGAGAGACTCCCTTCACTCTTCAGGCTCGGAGGGGTCTGGGGCTGCTGGCTGGGCAGGGCCGGCTCCCAGGCACTCGAGGGCCTCGTCCGAGTCGG